GGCAAGCGGGGGGCCGGGGCGGGCTTCCCGCGTGAACCCGCCCCTTCCCCAAGACTCCGTGGTCAGGTGGCTGCCAGTGTGTGGGCGTCTCGCTGCCCCGCAGAGCTTCACCGGACCCTGTATCCCTTGATTGGCTGAGATCCAGCCCTTCTCCCAGCCCAGGTCCCCCAAGTGAGGGACGGTGGTCCCTTCCTGATGCTATGTCTCGGCTTCAGTCTCTGAGCACGCCGGGGACCTCAAGTGTTTACCACCCCTCCCACCCCCCATGGCATAGCGTGTCCACGTTGTGGCCTATGCTCAGCCCAAAGTTTGGACACTCAGAGGCACAGCAGGAGCTCCAGCCTTGATCAGAGACCCTGCACTTTAACCTATCCCCTTCCACCAGGCAGCTGATGGTTGTGGCCGAAGTATCTTAAGGTAGCGGGGCCTGTGCCCTCTTCCCCACCTACCTCCTGTCTACCCCACACACCACCACCACCCTGGCTCCCCTCCCTCATGACCGCCTGGATCCTCCTTCCTGTCAGCCTGTCCGCTTTCTCCATCACTGGCATATGGACTGTGTGAGTACCTAGGTGACCGTGTGAGGGGCCACGGTGGCAAGAGGGAGAATTAGGAGGCAAAGTGGGCCCAAGCCGGGACAAAGAGTGGACAAAGTGGACAAAGCTCCAGCTAGGCCAGCAGGAGCTTGATGGCAGGATGGTGCTCAGGGCCACTCTGGCTGTCTCTGGAGTCTGGCCTGCTGCCTGGGCACACAGCCCCTTGGGATGAGTTGGCACCATTGCCGGCCCCCGCTGGGTGGCCTTGACAGTCATACTTGTAGCCACGGCAACTTCCAGGGGGGTTTGCTCCATAACAGAGGGCCAGGCTGCGGGCTCTGGTGTGGCTCCAAGCCTCAGGGCCACCCCACCTCTAGAATCCCCAACAAGGACTCTAAAGTAGATGAGGAGGCCACGAGGGGGGGCAAGGCTGGCAGGGGGGAGTGGGGCGGGTGACAGCTCTGCTCCCACAGGTATGCCATGGCTGTGATGAACCGCCACGTGTGTCCTGTGGAAAACTGGTAGGGTGCACTCTGCAGACAGCTTCTCATTAAAACTCCCTTCAGCTCTCTTCCCTCTGGGGTCTCGGGGGCTGCTGCAAGCCAGATGGAGACCCTGGCCTCACTGCTCTTCTGACATTGGCAGAACCTGCCCCTCCCCAGGCATGGCTTTGTACCCACCTACCCGCTTTCCTACTGCCCCTTCTCCTTCGTGGCTTCTCTTCCAGGCAGGCCCTGGAAAGGGGGTGTTTTTGCCCCAACAGAGGGAGGTCTGGGAGGGTGTCCTCTGGGAGGCTTGATGCTGCAGGCCAAGGGCCTGGGGCCGGGGGCCTCTCCCCCACAGTCTACTTTCTGCCCTGCCTGCCTGCCAGGTCCTACAATGAGTCCTGCTCTCCCGACCCCACTGAGCAGGGGGGTCCCAAGACCTGCTGCACCTTGGACGATGTTCCCCTCATCAGGTAAATTGGGCTGGTCAGGGAGGCCCCAGGCCTGCAAGCAAAGGTCTGTCCTGGGGTCCTGGGTATACTAACTGTATTAGTTACTCATTAGTTAGTATATTACTTACAGCCATGCACTTCGCTTGCACAATCTCGTTTAATCCTCTCAGCTCTGAGATAGCCATGGCTTGTTCCATTTCGTCCATGAGGAAACTAGCTCAGAGAATCGGGTTGCTTGTTCAGGGCACACAGCTAGTAAGGAGAGATACCTGGATTTAAGGCCAAACCCACAGAGTGCCTAGGACAAGCGCTGACTCTAGAAGAACAGGAGGAGCTGTAGGCCTTCTCTGTCACGTCTGTGTCTCAGCTCTTGTGGGAGGGGTTCAGCCAGGGGCCAGTTGTTCATGGGGGCCCCCTGACTCTCTGTCCTTGCCTCCCTCCTCTCAGCAAGTGCGGCACATACCCCCCCGAGAGCTGCCTCTTCAGCCTCATTGGCAATGTGGGTGCTTTCATGGGTGAGTGACCCCCCTCTCCATGCCTGGACAAAACCTGAAAAACCCCATTCTCTGAAGGCCCCAGGAAGCACTCCGCTAAACCCAGGGGCGCTGTGAGGCCCAGCCAAAGGCGGCTCCTGTGGGGGTTCTTTGGAAACCCAGCTCACCTCCAGGCAGTCACTCCCTGCCCTCGGGCCTGGGAGGACACAACTCCTGGGAGGAAGCCAGTTGGGACTGAGGCCAGCTCCCCTGGTCTTCTTCGATGTCTGGCCCCACCCATCTTCTCCTCTCGCAGTGGCTCTGATCTGCCTCCTCCGGTATGGGCAGCTCCTGGAGCGGAGTCGCCACTCCTGGGTTAACACCACTGCACTCATCACCGGCTGCACCAACGCAGCGGGCCTAGTAATAGTCGGCAACTTTCAGGTGCGCCTGCCCCGGTCTTGAAGGTGGCCCAATAGGTCCTGGCCACCTCCAGAGGCAGTACCTCCTGGTTGAGGGGGGCCAGTAAAGGGACTGGCATGAAATAAGGGGTGAGGGGAAAGTGCTAGGAGTCTGGGTGGTGGGAGGGGCCTCCCTCAGCAGCCCCTGGGCCCCGGCAGGTGGACCATGCCAAGTCTCTGCACTACGTGGGAGCCGGCGTAGCATTCCCAGCAGGGCTGCTCTTCGTCTGCCTGCACTGTGCTCTCACCTACCATGGGGCCACAGGACTCCTGGACCTAGCCATGGCACACCTGCGGAGCGTGCTAGCTGTTATTGCCTTTGTCTTCCTTGTGCTCAGTATCCTTCCAAGACTGGGCAGCCAGGAACACCCTGGCCCAGCCCTTCTCCCACTGGAGACTCGTGGGTTAGGGGAGTGGCCTCCTAGGTGTCTCCTGCTCGCCCTCCAAGGGCAGTGAAGGCCTGCTCTTAGTTTGATATCTGGGGGTCCGTGGGTGTACTAATGGTGTATGCTCCATGACTAACTGAAAGGCTGGCAGTCAGAAGCCACGCTGAAGTGCCTCAGACAAAAAGCCTGGCAGTCTTCTTCTAAAGGCCACAGCCCAGCTCTGCCCTGCACTCAGGGGTGTCACCATGAATCAGAGATGACCGAGGGCTTACATCCTTTATCAGGAAATGTAGGCACAGGAAGGTGGTGCCAGGTTCCCAAAATCCTCTGGAATATGTCCTTAACCCGCTTCCAGGTGGGGTCTTCTTTCTCCATGAGAACTCTCAGCTGCAGCACGGGGCCGCCCTGTGCGAGTGGGTATTTGTCATCGACATCCTCGTGTTCTACGGCACCTTCAGCTATGAGTTTGGGGCTGTCTCCTCAGACACACTAGTGGCTGCCCTGCAGCCCGCTGCCGGCCGGGCCTACAAGTCCTCAGGGAGCAGCAGCACCTCCACACACCTCAACTGTGCCCCCGAGAGCATTGCCATGATCTGAGGTCTGGGCAGGGGGGAGTTGGCCCGTCCCCCCACAACTCCCAACCCCATCTACTTTGCATTTATTTTATACCAAAAACACTTCTGAAAGTATTAAGATGGGAGGCCGGCTTCCTCCCTCAAGGAGGGAGTGGCCATCCTCATCCATCTGTGCCATGGAGTGGCCCTGCCCTGGGGCCACCCCACTGCTGCTCACCCACCCGCAGGGGGGTTTGTATTGTAAGGTCATCCGTTTTCATTCACCCAGCCAGCCCTTCAGGTGCCTTCTTCTCCCCAGTTCTCAGGCCAGACCACTGGGGTTTCCGCTGCAGGAAGTGGGAGCTGGGGATGGCAGGAGGGAGGGGAATCTGGTGAGGGGCAGGTAGGGCGGAGCACACCTTCGTCTGGGAAGGCCCACAGAGCTGCACTGGCATTCTTTACTCCGCCCCCCACTTCCTTTAGGGCAAAGAACACAGCAGAACCACATGGGTATTTTAGTACTTTTTTTTTATATCTATTAAAAGAATTCTAATTTGCATGTTTGTAGTCTGTTCTGGAGAGCCAGGGAGGCCTGATCCAGGAGGAGCCAAAGGGTAGGAGGAAGCCCCTTACCAGAGGAGTGCCCTGGGTGCCCCTGGTCTTTGTGATGGCCCACTGCCACTCACAGCAACCCCACGGGTCAGGGTCGAACTACCCCTGTGAGTTTCCAAGACTAACTGTTAACTGGAGTAGAAAACCCAGTCTTTCTCCCTCAGAGGATGGTGGGTGCCAACCAAATTGCCCTAAAAGACTGGCCTGGTCTGATCATCTCATCCACACTTCCTTCCCCATCTCAGAGGGGGTGTAAAGAGGAGCCTTAAAAGGTAGAAAGCTCTTGGGATTTCAAGATGAACTATTAACTGCAGGGCCGAGATATGGGCTGATTTTTCGCTACCAGCTTCAAGTAGATGTTGGTACCAGTTCCTGGCCCTTTTCCCTCCACACCCAGGCCCATGCACTGGCTGATGTTTTCAGGCCAGCAGGCTCGAGAGGAAGGGAAAACCTGGAAGCCTAGAACCTTCCGTGGGTCAGCCCCACCTTTCCTGAACGCTCCATGACCTGACTGCAGAGTCCCCACCTAGGCCTGTGAGCAATGCAGCTGCAGGTGGGTAAAGAAACCTTTAATGAGGGAGGATTCAAGGCTCCAGAGGAAGACATTGTGCAGGGCTGGCACTCAGCCGTGATTGCCTCAGGTGTACATGGCTCCGTGGAGGTTCTCCAGCCGGTGCTGCTGTTGCTGCTTTCGAGCCTGGAGGAAAGAGGGCACTCTGGGTCGAGGGCCATGCCCGAGGGCCTGGGCCACTGGAGGATCCTGGCATCCACACTGCTGAAGCACAGGCCCCTCACCAAGGTCACTGGAAGGCCTGCTAAGGTGTGAAAGGGGCAGCCACTGGGGTCGAGGGAGTCCCGAGACCCCCTCCATTTCACCACCAAGCCTCTACCTTATTTCGCCTGTGCTCTTCGTAAGTGTCGTCATCAGTGGGCAGCTCATGGCGGCACAGGGGGCAGGAGTTTGTCTGAGCAAAGCAGAGCAGTTTCAGCTGGGGTCTGGCCACAGTTCCTGGCATGATCCTCCTTCCCACCCCACCCCTTTGTTGGCCCCCAGGAGTCATTACCCAGAGAGCAGGGCTGGGGGCAGTGGTACCTTGTTCAGCCAGGGCAGAATGCAGTTGGAGTGAAAGAGGTGGTGGCATGGCATCTCAATGGCTGTCTCCTCCTCCTCAAATTCCAAAAGACACACGGGGCACTTGAGCTCTTTGAGAGGGAGTGCTAATCAGGAGAGATGCTGTGGGTGCCACCCCCCAGCTCCCACTCCACAAGGGCACTCTTTGGCCCAGACCTGGCCGGGAACCTGAAGCACCAGGGCACAGCCTGGCTCGGGCGAGGGTGAGTCTGGCAGACCTGCCCCAAACAGCATAGGGAATCCATGTCCTCACCAGCCCGGGCGCCTCTGATGATTGTCCTGGGGAGGTTCTCGACCACATCCTTGGCAGCAGGTGGTGGCAGGTGGTGGTCCCAATCTACTACTAACCCCAAGTCTTCAAAGTCCATCCTATTGAAAAGCGACCTGAGGTGCAGCGGGGGCGGGGGGGAGGCATAGGAAGGTCAAAACCAAAGACGAGCATACTTTCTCCTTGCCCCCAGAAACCCCTGCCCTGCCCCGCTAGTAGAAATCCTAACTTTCCCACAACAAGCGCCCCCTAGGTAAAAAGCACGGGAAAACCGGTTACAGCAACGATCCGCCATCCCGGTTCGTTCCCATCATACACCCGAGGCAAAGGTTCAAGGAAGTTAGTCAAGGCCACCCAGGAAACACCTGGTAGGGCCATATTCCAAGTCGCAAGGTTGAGCAGCAAGCCAGAGCTCTCTGCCGAATACGCTTACTCCGGCCCACCACACAGCCCTACCAAGCCCGCCTGCCCCTGCGTCCTAGCTCCCACGGCCCCCACTCCAGCTCCTGCCTTCACCAGAACCTCCCTTGCCCCGGCGCACCCGGACAACGCTCCTGAACAGACATCCTGCCCCCAGCCCAGAATCCTGTCTCCGAAACCCCGCCGGCTTCAGACAATCCCACCCCCGAGCGCCGACCCTCCTAGCCCTGTGCACCCACCTTGCGAGTTCTAGCAGCATGTTGGCTCGGGCCTGCGGTTCTGTGTCCAATGGCTCACAGTCGTGCTCATCAAAATAGGAGGCCATGGCGGCCTGGCTGACACTGCCCTCGGATCCCTCCTCTGCTGCGGCCGCGCGGTGCAGGCCAATCAGCTAGGGAGTTGAAAGAGGGTGACCAATCAGAGCCTGTAGGAGGCGGGCACAATGATCCGTTCAACTGCGCGAAAGCGGAAGTACTCATTGAGCTGCTCCTCGTTGGTTAGAATCTATCAGGTGACCAAGGACTGCAACCAATGACAGAGGTAGAGAGTGCACCACAAACATTTGTCTTGGAGTCCAGCGGAGAGGAGGTTTGGGGGCTTGTGTGATGGGCCCACGTAGCGCCCTGGAAAGTCACAAGTCTGGGTTGTGAGCTCTTCACTCTGCCCAGAGGCTCAGAGCACCTGTCCTCGCCGATTCTGGGTGCCCGGTGAGAGCTGGGATGCTGGACGCTTGCCGCGGCGCTGCCCTCGCGCCCGGCCCGCCCCGCCGCCAGGACGTGCCTGGCATTTCTGTACCCACGGCACTGCTCTCTGGTTGGGTCAAGAGTTTACGCTTGATTCTGCCCTCACTCCCGAAAAACAAACAAGCAAAACTTCCCCGCGCATTTCTTCTGTGTTAGTCACCATAATAGAGGGTGGGTCAAACCTCCCAACCGAGGGATGGAAGCTTGGGGCCGGGAAATCTGCAGCCTCTTCTGCCCACGGGACTCGACGTGACCTTCCTTAGACCACTGCTCATCCACTTCAGCTTCGGTTTCCCTTTCTGTAAAACTAGTGACTTGAGTCGGCAAGTGCAGTGACCTAAGTTTATTCATTGGTTACTAAGGGCAGAGGGTAGGAAGACATGGAGGATATTGAGGATAAGTGGTATAGCTTTTGTTGTAGTTAAACCAAATAAAAACCCTGCTCACTGCCATTGACTGGGTCAGAGTGCCCCTGTGGGACAGGATAGAACTGCCCCTTTGGGTTTCTGAAACTAACCTTAGAAAGCCTCATCTTTCTCCTGCAGAATGGCGGTAATGTCAAACAGCTGATTTTGTGGTTAGACCAGTGTGTAATCACTACGCCACCAGAGCGCCTTTGTTGAAGGCAATGAAAATTTTGGAAATGGATAGTAGTGGTTGTTGCAGAATTTGGTGAGAGTAATTAGTAACACTGAAATGTCCACAGACGGTTGAACTATGTAAGAATATATTTCAATACAATAAAATAGTAAAAACACCTGGTGCAGTGGTTCCCAACCTGTGGGTCTCGACCCCTTTGGGGGGTTGAACAACCCTTTCTTTCACAGGGGTCACCTGATTCATAATAGTATCAAAATTACAGTTATGAAGTAGCAACGAAAATAATTTTATGGTTTTGGGGTCACCACAAACTGTATTAAAGGGTGGAGGCATTAGGAAGGTTGAAAACCACTGACCTAGTGGATTGAATTAAAAATGATTTGCATCCCAGCTACACACAAATCTGCTGGGGAGAGGAGAGAGCTTCAGGGAAAAAAATTCATTCCTGGTAAACCAAACTAAAACACAAACTCATTGCAATTCCAGTGATTCCGACTCCTAGGATCCTTTCGAACAGAGTAGAATTGACCCTGTGGATTTCAGAGGCCGTCATTCTTCAGAGGAGCAGGAAGCCTCATCTTTCTCCCAAGAGGAGCTGGGTTCCAAATGTTGGCCCTGGACTCGCTCCATTTCTGAGGACTTACTGCCCTCGAGTCAATGTCATCTCATAGCAACCCAATAGGACAAGGGAGAAGTGTCCCTGCGAGTTTCTGAGACTATAACTCTTTACAGGAGTAGAAAGTCCCATCTTTTTCCTGAGGAGCAGGTGGTGGTTTCAAACTGCTGACCTGGCGAATCACAGCCCAACTCATAGCCACTTTGCCACCAAGAATTCCATTCTGATATATATCCTCAAAGATTCTGTCTTAACGGATCTAGGAGCCCTGGTGACCCTCTGGTCTAGGCATCAGACTTCGAACCACAAGGTTCAGGATTCAAACCCACCAGCCAGGATAAAGGAGAAGAATGAGGCTATATGTTCTAGTGGCATCGTGGTTACACTTTGGGCTGCTATTTGAAAAGTCAGCAGTTTGAAACCACCAGCCACTCCACAAGAGAAAAAGGAAGCTGTCTATTTTTCTAAATAGTTAGGGTCTTAGAAACCCACTGGGGCAGTTCTATCCTGTCCTGTAGAGTTGCTATGAGCTGGAATCAACTCGATGGCAGTGAGTTTAAGTTTTGAGATGTTCCTGATGCTTTCTATTCCCACAGAGATTTACAATCTCACCATGAGTCAAAACTGAGCAAATCATCAGAGAAGTTGAATTCTATTAATTAGAATGTGGCATCAGGATTGGATGGAGGCTTATTACCCACCTGAGATATGCAGATGACACAGCCTTGCTTGCTGACGGGGAGGAGGACTGGAAGCACTTGCTGATGAAGATCAAGGATTGTAGGCTTCTGTGCGGTTTACAACTCAATGTAAGGAAGGCCAATATCCTCACAACTGGACTGATAAATAACATCATGATAAATGGAGAAAAGATTGATGCTGCCAAGGATTTGATCTTGTTTGTATCCACAATCAACGCTAGTGGAAGGAGCAGGCAAGAAGCCAAAAGATGCGTTGCATTAGGTAAATCTGCTTTCCAAGACCTCTTTAGAGTATTGAAGAGCAAGGATGTTACTTTGAGGACTAAGTTGGACCTGACTCAAGCCATCAATTGCTTCATATGCATGTGAAAGTTGGACATTGAATAAGGAAGACAGAAAAAGAAACAAGGTGCTTGAATTGTGGTGTGGTGAAGATTATTGACAGTACCATGGACTGCTAAAAGGACAGACAAATCTATCTTGGAAGAAGTATGGCCAGAGTGCTCCTTACAGGAGGCAAAAGTAGTGAGGCTTTGTCATAGTCTTTGGACACGTCAGGAGAGATCAGTGTCTGGAGAAGCAGTGTTTGGTAAAGTAGAGGGGCAGTGAAGGAGGGGAAGGGCCTCAGGAGGTGGATCGACACCATGGTTGCACCGTGGACTCAAGAATAGGAACAATTGTGAGGTTGGCACGGGACTGGGCCGTGTTCCATTCTGCTATGCCACTGTGCATCAGAACCGACTTGATGGCACCTAACAACAACGACATGAGTTGGCATCCACTCCATGGCAGTGGGGCCTATAGTTGCTCAAGTTCTGTAAGTGTTTCTAATGTGAGGCAGGCTTGAGAACCAGTGTCTCAAATGATTTGGATGACAGCATCTACAACTGTTCCAGTTGATGGATATTTGCCCATTGTATCAATAGTCTCAGGAGCTAAGTGACAGTCTTCCCTTTTTGTATAGACAAAACACAATAAAAATTTCACAAAGACGTAAGTAGTATTGATAACTAGTTACAGGGCCAAGTGCGTTTCTCCATCTTGCCCTACACATAAGTAACTACCCATTGGTTGTCATGGATTCCAACTCACCAGGACCCCTTATGTTTATAGAGTAGAACTACTTCATAAGGTTGTTTTTAACTTTGCTGTGAATTTTTCTATAACTTTTTGTTATAGGACAGACCACAAGTTTTACACTCAACAATTCATATATTTTGTTTGCTCTCATTCACTGCAGTTCCCTCAAAGTTCTATCACCCCGCTTCCTCCCTGTTTACACGCCTCCTCCTTTCATGAGGCCCTGTACTTTGTCCTTGGCGAATGCTGCCCTTTGACCTCAAGTGTTTGCTTGTTCTAAGGTGTGTGTACCTTGCTAGAGTTCTCGATCCCCTTATAGACCTGTTGTTTGCTTACAAATTGAACCACGAGGGTGGGTTCAGTTCCGGACCTGAAAGGTGACCAAGGGTCATCATCCTCAGGGGAGGGCAGCTCCACCAGTCTCTATCTGACCAGTAAGCTTCGTCGCTTTAATGCTTTTGAGTTTTGTTCTACTTTTTTTCTAGACCTCTGTGCAGGGCCTTTTAATGTGAATCTTTTCAGAGGAGTGGGTTGCAGGAGCCAAGCACTAACTACCTAGGCCTTCTGGCCTCAAAGTTGTGGAGATTGATATTCATGTTCACATTAGATCAATGGACTAATTATTTCAGTGTCTCCCATTTCATCTTGCTTCTTTCCTCAGGACAGGGAGAGGACAAGACTCTAAGTCAAGCCTTAGGTGGCTGTTCATGAGCTTTTAGATCCCTATCTGTCTCTCCTCACCAAAATAGGGTCTAGAGCTTGTCTACGTGGACTATGCTATGTCAGTTGACCTTGGTGTCCCCCAAGAGTATGATCCTGAGCTCCCAGGTCCAGCAACTCATTCTCTCAAGGAGTTTGATTCCAAAAGGTTTCCTTGGCTGAAATAGATCACCAGTACTTTCTTCCATGGCACCACAAGTAGGTTTAAACCATGAACTTTTAGGGTACCAAAAACCCTAAATCAATTCTCATAGTGACAATTCTCATAGTCAATTCTCATAGTGACATTCTATAGGGCTTCTGAGGCTGTAAATCATTCCAGGGGAAAGACAGCTTCATCTTTCTCCTGTGGAACAGCTGTTGCGTTTGAACCACAAACCTTGTAGTTAGCAATCCAAAGCTTACCTAACAGTGCTACCTAGATTAATAGATAAAAGCTTCATTTCTTCAGTGGAGTGGCTGGTAGTTTTGAACTGTTGGCCTTGCAGTTAGCAGCCCCAGTTAATTATTGAGTGCAAACTTTTGGTGCCACTCATGGACCGTCTGTTCCGTAAAAATGACCAGCCAGGGGGCTCATCCACTTTGTCATCCCACTGGGCTTAAAATGAGCTGTTCCCAAGGTGGAAAGGGGGCCCGCCAGAGACAGTGAGAAGCCAGAGCAGAGAAATGGTGGTAACAGGCTGTAGAAGCAAGAGAATGACCAGCAGGAGATGGTGACAGGGCTTACAGGTGGAGAGAGGGAGGTGCCTCTGGGCACTTACTGTCTTATCTAAAAGAAGTTTGTTTCACTTGCTTGAGCAGGTCGGGGATCTGAGGGCTGAGGGGCTGAGAGCCGGAGGCCCACAAGTGGGTGCAGCTAAGAAGCTCTTCTGACTGGAGCAGATTCTGATCTTGAATTGTAGCCTGTTACTTCCCTAATGAACTCCATAATCACAGTATGGTCTGTGGCTATTACAATGTGGTATCAAACTCTAGTAGAGAGAGAAGACTGGTGTAGGAATTAGTAAGAAGAGGTTGGGAGCGGGGGGAGCAGGATGCAGGCCTGACTTCTGTCTCACAGGAGCCAGCCTTGGGCTGTTGAATATCCTTCCCCTTGTGAAGGCAGATAGGTGCCCTGATGGTGTAGTGGTTACATGTTGGGCTAGGATCCACCAGGTCTGCAGATCGAAACCACCAGCCACTCCACAGGAGAAAGGCAGGGCTTTCTACTCCAGTAAGAATTACAGCCTCAGAAACTCACAAGGGCAGTTCTACAGGGTGACTATGAGTCAGCATCACCCCTCCGGCAGTGCGTTTGGTCTTGGTTGGTGAAGTCAGAGATCTGAAGCCGTCACCACGCCAGTTACAGTAGCCCAGGAAGAGGCTGGCTGACTGCACAGTCCTCGTGGGGCCTCTGTCCTGCGACTCGTGCCCAGGGTTCCTGTTGTGGCCCTGTGATCCCAGAAGCTCTGAAAAGCTTGCCCCTCTTCCTACAAAGCAACCTCCAGACTGCACTCTGTGAGCGTGCATTGCAGCACCTCGCAGGCCCTCCCTGTCTTCAATGCCACCACTTGCCTCATGGGTCATTTGGTAGCATCTTGAGGAAGAAGGTGGGTGAAGCTATTGCGGAAGGGAGGAGGGAGGAGAAAGTGAATATCAAGGTGAGGAAGGGCCTGATGCTGTAGAAGTCTTTGAAATATTTTCCTCTTTGTCAACTCATTGGGGTCCCAGTGGTCTTCCGAGAATCCCGAAAATGCGATGGCAGTGGTGGGGGGTTGGGAGGATGCGGGTGGGGGAGTGTAGAGAAACAAACAGAAAACAAAATTCCATTTTCAGGGAGCCAGCCCAGAAGAGCCCTGGTTCAAAGGTCTGACTGGGGCCCCTGTGTGCCTGCACCTGTGCCCCAGAAAGCCTGTCTGTGTGGAGTCAGGCAAAGGACGAGAAAAGGCCACCTCCCCTCCCGGGGAGAGTCTTTGGTGCACTTTCCGAGCAGCCCGGGACAGGGACCAGGGACCTTTAGCAACCAACCTTGCTTGTTACAAGTGAGGACTTGAAGCCCCTGTTGATGAAGACCAAGGATGCAGCCTCCCGTCTGGATTACAGCTCAGTGTAAAGAGGTCCAGAGCCTCTCCAGTGCACCAGGAGGTGACCTCGTGCCCAAGGGAGGAAAGATGGAAGCGGTCAGGATTTCAGCTTGCTTGGATCCACAATCAGTGCTGACGGACGCAGCCGGCAAGAGATGGAAAGGCACCTTGCATTGCATTAGGTAAATCACCTGCACAGGACCTCTTTAGAGTATTCCAAAGCAAGGGTGTTACTTTGAGGACTGAGGTGTGTCTGACCCACGCCATGGTATTTGCAGTGGCCTCCTATGCCTGTGGAAAGTTGGGCATTGCATGAGGAGAATGAATGCATTTGAATTCTGGGTGCTCGCCAAAAAAATATCGACAGTCCCACGGACTGCCAGAAAAACAGATCTGGCTTGGAAGCAGTGGAGCCGCCTGCTCTCCAAGGCAAGGAGGGGAGACTTCATCTCACTTTGGGGACATGCTGTCCACAGAGACCCGTCCCTGGAGCAGGACGGCGTGTGTGGTAGAGCCGAGGGCGGGGAAACAGAAGGCCCCCCTGCACAAGCCGACTTGACACGTGGCCACAACACAGGCTATGAGGACGGGGCAGGACGGGGCGGGGTTTCGTCTCCATGGACACAGGATCCCTACAAGTCGGCATGGACCACCCGACAACAGGGACCTTAGACAGACACACAAAAGGCACCCGCTTTTCCACACAAACAGCAGCTTTTACTGAGCTCCAGGTGGGGCTAGCGTGGCATGACCAAGGTCACCAGGCTGTTCTCAAAGGTCGTCTGTGGGGTGACGGGAGATGTGGCGGTGCATGCATGGCCTTGGAGGCTCACCGGAGTGGCTCAGGAGGGAGTGGACGCCAGGCGGGTCAGTCCCCCGGCTCTGAGGCCGAGGCCACACCGTGCCCTCACCCCTTGTTCGAGAGAAAGAAGGCCAGCAGCGCAATCAGGATGATGAGCAGGCTGCCGCCCACCGCCAGCCCCAGGTAGATCCGGCAGCGCCTGTTCTCCCAGCGTTTCTTCTGGGCCAGGGTCTTGGTGGTCTTGCTGAAGGACGTGCTCTGTCGACACCCCAGAAAAGTTAGTGGGTCCCCGAGGCTTAGAGCAGCCCCTGCCCCAGCCAAACCTAGTCTCCTCCTGCACCCTCCCCACCCTGCTCGGCCTGCTCCCGTCCTCCACACAGGCTGCCTGGCCCTTCCTGGCCGGACTCCTGCCCTCAGACATGGTGTAGCCCTTGACTTGTAGCCCGACTGGCTCACGGCCCGTAATAATGCCAGCCCTTGACCTTTAGGAAGGCACACCACTTCACACAAAAGCCCTGGTCCTTCCTAAGGTCTGCCCATTGCATGCCTGGGCTAGGGGTGCCTGGAAATGCCCCCAAACCCAAATCCACTGCCATCGAGGCGATGCCAACTCACAGTGACCCGTTAGGACAGGGCAGAACTGCCCCTGTGAGTTTCTGAGACTGTGGCTCTGTACGGGAGGAGAAAGCCCCATCTTTCTCCCTCAGAGCAGCCAGTGGTTTCAGACGGCTGACCTTGCAGTGAGCAGCCCATCTCGTAACCAAGATGCCACCGGGAATTCCAGAGACCCTGAAATAGGCCTCTGACCCCACCATGGGCCTGGGACCCTGCACACAGCCTCAAAGCTCCCTTGGTGGATTCTTCCCCTTCTCCCCTCCTCCCCTTCTTCGCCCACCCCCCCCAACCCCTTCACACACACACACCCCAGGCCTCACACCATGTCCAGGAGTTGGTCTGAACGCTGCTCCAGCTCGGCCAGCTTCCCATCACGCTCCAGGACCTTGTCGAAGTTGTTGAGCATGATTTCCGTCACTTCTTCCGCCTGCCGCTGACATTGCTCCAACTCTTTCCCTGCCTGGGCACCAAGCCCAAGGTCAGGGCTGCATGAGGCCCCCGGGGGTCCTCATCGGCCCCGAGACCCAAGGCTCCTCAGCCCCACTCTATGCGTGGGCAGTATCCTTCATGAACATGTAAGATGTGAGGGGGTCGAAAGGCTTGTTGGTTGAGGGGACTTGCCTTTGGTCTTAGTGGCCCCTCCCCTGCCCTTCAAGGCAGGAAGATCAGCCCAGGACCCCTTCATCTCAGCTTCCTCCAAGCTGCCTCAGGGTGCGGCCTTCCCAGGACTCCACCCACACAGCAGACATCACCTGCTCCAGGATGCTGTCTGCCCATCGCACAGCTGCCTGTGGCTGTCCACTGGCCCACACCCACCACCACCCTTTGGACACTGTCCCTAGTCTTGCAGAAGTTCCTGGCGCTAAGGCAAACATATAGTATGGCCATCAGAGAAGTCTGTGGGACAGACGTACATCGAATTCTATTGCAGCAGGACGGAAGGGAACCCACCCCAAGCCCGCTGTCATTGAGTCTATTTGGGCTGATGGCAACCCCGCAGGACAGGGTAGAACCAACTGCTCAGTAGGGTTTCCACGGCGGCAAGTCTAAGTAGAAGCAGACAGCCTCATCTTGCTCTCTCAGCCTCTAGACACTGTGTCTGACCCGCTATCTCCCAGGGAGCAGCCCAATACTCAACCCACTGTGCCCCCAGGCCTCTTTTGGCCATCTGGTCGATGCCAACTCACTGCAAGCCTACAGGGCAGGGTAGGTCTGCCCCTGGGGTGGGGGTGGGAGATTCTGAAATGGTAACTCTTTATGGAAATAGAAAGCCACCACAATCCTCGACTTTTCTTCCCTGCCAAACTCAGCAGCTCAGCTCTCCCTCCTTTGGCCTTTGACTAGCCAGGTCTGGCCTGCCCCTGCTGCCCCTACCCCCCACATCAGCACCTGGGTAGGTTCCTTCCCTGACCGGCAACTTCAGCCTCCCTGGCCTCTGGCTTGCAGCCTTCCAGCTGCCCTGTGGTGCCATTCACAGGGAAGAGACCCACCCTTGAGTTCCCAGCCCAGGCACCAGCCTCTCCTCATTTCAGAGGACCAGGAACCTAGAGGCTTAGGGTCCAAACTTAGAAGGCAGAAGATGAAACCAAACCAAACTCACTGACAATGAGCCAATGTTGACTCATGGTGACCCTGTAAGGTAGAATAGAACTGCCCATTTGGGTTTCCAGGGCTGTCAATCTTTGCAGGAGCAGAGAGCCTCACCTTTCTCCCAAGGAGTAGCAGGTGGGTTTGAACTGCTGACCATGCAATTAGCAGCCCTACGGGTAAGGCACTATGTCACTAGGGCTCCCTAGGGAAAAGAGGAAATATGGGTTGTGGGCACAAAAGGAATTGGGCTTTGGAGGCGGGGCTGAGAGAACCACAGAAGAGGAGGCACCAGGTGGGGGCGGGAGGGCCAGGAGCAGGCTCGGGGACATTTCAATGAGATGAGTATCCTTGGATCAACAAACCACAGTGGCTGCCTCCTCCCCACTTAAGTCTGCCAGGCTCCCACAGCCCCTCCCTGCTCCCGTCTCCTCCCCACAGATCCCATTCCTGCCAGCCCATATCCCCCATTGTCTACCAGAGCTGACATTTTGGCACTTGATTGAATTACAGCTAAAACAAGAGAACTTAAGTGTTGTGAAGGATCTGGTGGCCACAGAAGACCACCTCTCGCCTGTCCAGAAATCCTCCTGGAGCATTGGCAGCTGCCTTTCACATGGCCTTCAAGTGTTCCCAGTGTATGAGTCCTCCCTCCTTAAATAGAGTAGGAGCTCCCAGTGGGAGGGTAGGGACAAGTTCCATATTCCCATCCTCTACCACCCCAGGGTCCCAGGAGGCTAGCAGAGTCCTGGCCACTGCAAGTTCTCAGGGAATGGGTCAACTGCGCTATAGCCTATTGTGGTGAAATGAACTACTTAACTTGGCCCTTCTATGTAACTCCCACCAAGTGACCGAGCAGATGGTGCTATGCAAATGAGATGTGTGTGGTCCACCAAGGAGAATGGCTAGCTTGCTAACAATGTAAATGAGGTGTGTGGCACCCTTGTGGGGATGGGAGCATGCCAATAGATATAGGGCACCCTAATTTAACATCCCACCTGGAGCCCAGTGGTGTAATGGGTTATGCTTTGGCCTGCTAACCTCAAGGTCAGCAGTTCAAAACTACCAGGCACTCCACAGAAAAAAAAGAGGCTTCCTACTCCCGTAAAGACTTGCAGTCTGGGAAACCGATAAGGGCAGTTCTACTCTGTGCCATGGGGTTGCTGAGTCAGAATGGACAGCATGGCAGTGAGCTGAGTTGAGTTGAGCTATCCCAGAGGCAAACAGGCAGGAGTGAAGTGCACCCTTGAGCCTATGAACCCTACCCTGGGAACCTGCTCAACCTATAGGGGAAGCTGTAACACCAGAAATGACAAGAGCGACAAGAAGCAGCAGCAGCAAACTGATGGCAGCAGAGCCAGGAGGCCAGTAGGAGATGGTGCAGGGGGTGTGGGGAGGGGGATTCCAGCCCACAGAACAAGAAAGCTAAGCACCTTCAGGCAGGAGGCTAGCTGGAGGAGCCTTGGTAGAAGCTAGTTTGCTGACCTACGGAGCTAGAATGGAGGGCCTTTGGATCAAGGCTTACTGGTCCAAGTAATGTCTGAGGGGGCATTTATCAGCAGAACTAAATGAGCTGGTAACACTTGCCTGGGCCAGTGTTATACTACCTGCAGGCACTTCTGAGAAGAGGCCGTCCCAACCGAAGAACTCTGAGCTCTCCCTGAATTGTAACCTGTTAATTCCCTACCGAAACTCGGAACTGTGGTCTCTGCGATGCGGTCTCAGAACGGGGGCAGAGGTTGAAGGGTGGGTGAAGGTCTGACCTCAGCCTCCCACCTATCAACCTCAGGCTGTCAAAGCTCACAACAACCCTCTCTCTCCCTTATGAGCCCAGAGGAGGACAGACGCCACCCCCACGCCATTTTCACCCTTATCCCAAAGCAGCCCTCTGTCCTCAGAAATGTTAGCCTGGCATGTTTATCCAGACCAGTGGGAGCTTAGGGACAGGCATCTGTAGCTCAAATCTGCAAATATTTACCCAGCCTGATGAGAGAGGGGACAAGAAAGGACATGCACAGTAGACGGGGGTGGTGGTGGTGGTGGTGGTGGTGAGCAGAGACTGGGCCAAGGAGGAGGGATGGCAGAGCTGTGAAACTTGCCCTGAGTCAAGGGACACTGGTGTCACAGAGGTGAAAGTGTCCGGGAGCTAACTGGAAGGTTGGCATTTCCAGCCCCCCAGCAGCTCCCACGAAGAGTCCAGCCTTGGACACTGACAGAGGCAGTTCTGCTTGGTCCTCTGAGGCCGAGAGGAGTCGGAATGGACAACAGGCTTGGTTTGGGTTCGGGTTTTTCTGGGACCAACCCTCGTCATCACTCTCATGACAAGTCTATTACTCAACAAGTCGCGTGCCAGTGGGGCCTTTGAAGATCCCCAACCCCAGTGGGCCCAAGCAGAGGCTTGGGAAAGGGCAGAGATTTGAAAATGAGAATCCCTACGGGAGACCGGAGGGGTGCTGGGTCTTATTTTTTGTACTCTTCGCAGCACAGCTGCTAGCTTGTTCTCCAACAAGGGGTGATACCGGGTCACATTCTCCGGGAGAGCTGGCTGTGCCTTCAGCTGCGGCGCATTGCCTGCGCTCCCCACCCCCATGTGCAGCCACACCTGCATGGACCCCAGACTGGCACGGTGCCTAAGAATGCATTCAGCATTGACACGGGCCTGGGCCTCGGAGCCACTCCGGCAGAGGGAAGGGACACTGGCCTGGTGCACAGCTCTTTGCTAACGCTGGGGCAGGTGAGTCGCTAGGTGGCACCAACAGTTTGCACTCCCAAGAACTATGGGCTGTGGACAGGTGTAAGCTCCCAGAGGGCAGGAACCAGGTCTGATTTACATCACAGCCTAACAGCCTCGTGCCTGCCACAGGCTGGTTGTTAGGTGCCATCCGTTCACCTCAACACCTATCAACCCCATGGGGGGGATAGGGTAGTGGCCCCGCAGGATTTTCTAGGCTGTAATCTTTACAGAGAGCTGCTCCGCAGGTCGACCCCATGCAGAGAGTCAATGGTGGGTCCGATTAGCCAACCCTTCAGTGCTGACTACTAGGGCTCCTTTCGCTGACAGTACACATTGATAGACCTGCACACACCATGTCTCGTCTTTCGCAATCCCTGCGTGGCCCGGTGGTGAAAGCGTCCCTGGATTAACCATCAAGTTGGCAGTTTTAATCTGCACAGAAAACCAAAACACAAAACCCACGGCCATCGAGTCGATTCCAGCTCACGGAGATTAGTCGGAGAGGGGAGACGTGCCCACACTGTAACTCCTTACGGGACTAGAAAGCCTTGTCTCTCTCCCGTGGAGCAGCTGGCGGTTTCTAACGGCTGTCTGAGCAGAGCCCTGGTGCTTAATCATGTTGCCACCAGGTCTTCTGTCTATCCAGAGGAGCCTTGGAAAAGAGGTCGGGTGATTGATTTACTTCTGAAAAAACCGGCCAGGAAGAACTCCATGGAGCAGGATTGCATCTGGACACATGGGGGGTTGTTTCCAATGGGCATCCACCCAGCAATGGCCCTTTGGTTTGTTTCTGTGTTTCAGTTTGGCGAGGAAGAGCAGCCCGAGTGATACAATGTGTACGGAGTCAAGAGTTACATGTAAGAGATAAATCGCAAGTGCTGCAGCAGCCCACAGAGGTGACTCCCAGAACTGGGGTGGGCAGAGTGGGGCCCGTGGTGGAACAGTGCCATTGCTGGTATAGAGAGTCAGAGGCCCAAAGGGCATCCGGAGACTATCAGACAGGGTGCGTCCGGGCGGAGGGTAGAGGGGGCCCCAGGAAACAGTAACCACTGAGACGTGGAGGTCACTTTGGAGAGAGTGCCGAAGCCAGAGCCAATGCTCTGGTGAACCAAAGAAGGCACTGGAGAAGGTGCTTTGAGCACATGTTCCTGTCAGTGATTGCGTGGGGGGAGGGGGGGCAGGGAGAAGTGAGGAAGCTCAGGGCAGTGGTGGCTGGCGAAGCGCCATCCACAAGAGGTGTGAGGAGATGGTGGCCAGGCGGGCGGGGGCAGAGAGCGTGGAGAGGAAGGGTGGGTGAGGGAGGCATTTCCGAGACCTGCCATGGGCCTGTGGGGCTTGAGGTTTTGAGCCAGCTTCAGGGGGGAAGCTACAGTTCCGTTGGCATTCAGAGGGTGGTAGTTAATGCAGGAAATGTCCTTGACAGACCGTTCCGTATCCTCTGTCCAGAACAGGGGTCCTCAAACTACAGCCGTGGGCCACATGCAGCCCGCCGAGGACATCTATCCGGCCCGCTGGGTGTTTTTGCCCCATTTGCTTTTTTACTTCAAAATAAGATATGTGCAGTGTGCATAGGGATTTGTTCATAGGCGTTTTAAAAACTATAGTCCGGCCCTCCAATGGTCTGAGGGACAGTGAACTGGCCCCCTGTTTAAAAAGTCTGAGGACTCCTGGTCCAGGAGATCCCTCTTAGGAAACTTAAATCACCATTCAGCGTTTCCCAGGTTAATAAACCCTGGTTCCTCTTCTGAAAGCACAGCTGGCCCAAACCTCTGCTGTCTGCCCCCTCACCCCCTTGTTTATGCTCCAGAAACCCAGCTGCCGTCAGCCTCAGAGAGCCAGTGCCCAGCTTGGGCCTATTACCTCCTCCCTGCTTAGCACTCAGCTAGGTGCGGGATTAAGAGTTTCGTCCAAACCCCTCCCGTCACTCACCACTTGAGTGACCCACAGTTGAGGACGTGACCTTTCTGACCCTCTGCTTCCTTTATCCATGAAAGAGTGACCACAATACCCACTTCATCGTGCTGTTGGAAGGATTATGTCACGTAGTATAAATAAAATGCTTGGCACAAGGTCTGACATATATTAAATGCTCAAAAAACAATAGCTCTTATGATATGATGTAGCCCAAATTTCCCGTGGCTGTTTTAGTATCCTCACCAAGAACCCTGACTCAGGGTCACGAAAACTTCTTAGCTATTTTTAACAAAATATGCAGCCAAGGACAGAAAGCCCAAACCCAATGCTATCAAGTTAAGTCCGACTCCCAGTGAGGTCACAGGTCAGGGTAGAACCGCCCCGGCGGGTTTTCAAAGTCCTAACATTCAGGGAAACACCTTGCTGCATCGTTTCCCAGCAGAGTAGCTGAGGGGTCTGAAGAGCCTCCTGTTGGTTGGCCGTTGAGGCCTTAACCACTGTTTACCCAGGGCTCCTTCACAGCCAGCCATGGTCTTCCCTGTTGCCAACGTGTGGCCCTCTTTGCATTGCACTAAACGCAGGACCTGACCTAGGTCTTCGATATCCTCATCTGGTTTGTGTCCATCAGGCAGGGGCTGCACAGCAGGTTTCTCTCACCTTAAGCCATCATCTTAGGCTCCATTCAAAGCGCTGTCTCTGTGCTGCTGCTGTTCCCTCCCTTGGTCTCACTTCATCTTCATGACAACATGCGGAGCGTGGTCTGGGTGACCCAAGTTTCCAAGACACTGAGGCCCAGAGGGGCACAATCACCTGTCTGCTCAAAATCACAGAGCCAGTGAGATCAGGATCTGGAAGGTGACTTGACAGGGGCTCTTGGGACCGGCGTCTGAGCCGCGGTAGCACACTGGGTGCAGGGAGAAGGCAGCCCAGCACCCTGACTGCCGGAAGATTCCCCTGATGCCTAACAAGCCAGTTTGAGTGCCGGTGGGAGACGTTGGGGGCTCCAAACAGGAATTCTTTGGACTGTGCAGGCGAGTGGACCCTCCCTGCGACGGAGGAATAAAGGGAAGGACTTGCTCCGTGTCCATGTTTCCTCGGCTCCTTCCTGCTCCGGAGGGTTTTCTCTGCGACAATCGTGACAGAAGCAGATCACAAGCTCTTTCTTCCACCACACTTCGGGTGGATTTGAACCACCAACCTTTAGGCGAGTTGCTTCCAATGCAAAGCGAGGTTGGCCAACGTGCACAGAGCAGAAGTGCCTCATGGGCTGTCAAAGGATGTGACCTTTCGGAAACAGAACGCCAGACCTACCTTCTGGCATGAGTTCAAGCCACTAACCCTTTCATTGGTCATTCATCACAAACTGTTTGCTCCGCTCTGGAGCTTTCCCATGATCTCCCCCAGCAGCAGCCATGTCTAGCACAGAGGAAATGCCGAACGCAAAGCTTGTCGGGATGGGTCACAGGTAAGAGAAGGGCAGGGGAGGGAAGGTGGGAAAGGGGCTGGGAAGAAGGTGGAGAAAAAGAAGACACGGGGTGGGGCCAGGTGCGAGAAGGGAGATCAACAGGATTCCCCCAGATTCTGATCCACCACTGATCTCAAATAGTAAGAGGCACCCTCCCAACTCCCCCACCCCAAATTTTCCAATATCCAGCCCCTCCAAAATATCCTGGCCTCTGCCTTCACTTCCAGAGATTCCTCACGTTTCTCCCCAAGTGCTGAGGGTCAGCTAGAAGCCCATCCCTCCCACTGCCTGGTTCTCGGCCCTGCATACTTGGAAGGGGGCTCTGGGCTCTGTCCATTCTCAGGGCCTCCCTCCGTTTCCTGCCTTGACCTCCCAGCTCAGCACTACCTTCCGGCCCCACTTCCTCTTCCTGCCTCCAGTTCCCCCGGAGATGAGGGCCTCCAGGTGACCACCCCAGGCCAGGCCCTATCCCTCACCCTGCTCATCCAGGGCGGCAGGGTAGGGAGGCAACTGGCGTTGGCTGCTCCTGATACCTTTGCCTCCGAGATGGCAGTTGGAGTGCGGATGACTCAACTCTGGAAGGTGTCATGAGCTAGGGGTTCGGAGGGGACCGGGCCTGGGCCACACTCTGATCACTTCAGAAGAACTTGTGTGAAGCACTTCCTTTCACTTTCCCCAGGGAAGGAATTTGCCCTCCAGTACTCTGCCAGGGGCTGGGCTGGCACTGCCTCTCGCGCCTCATCTGCTCAGGTTTCCAACGCCCAGGCCAGGCTTGGCTTCTCACAGCCTCTGAAGAGGTCACGGTCAGAGCCACCCGGGGAGGAGCGGGTCCGGAGGGCTCAGGCGTTCTGTCTCAATCCACCTCGCTAGAACCCAGCAAGACAGCGACGGCGGATCCCACTTCTAGCACGCGGAAAAGGAGACTTGGGGCGGTTCAGTGTCTCGCCGGGGGGGTCACAGCGCTGGTGAGTGGGCGCCCATGGGATCCCAGCCCCGAGCCGGTGCGCGCACCGACGCCGCGACCGGGTGCGCCCGGCGCCCCCTCTCTGGCTGCGCGCTCGGAGCAGGGTGGGCCGGCGCCCGCGCTCCCCGCCGAGGCCACGGTGCCCGGAACGCGGG